ATTACAATCACTTTATTGCTGATGGGGAAGCTAAGTATCTGTATCTTTGCATAATCTCCTGATTTCAGAGTGCTGAGCCTAAACTCCCCTTATATACTGAATTCTCTCATCCCCTTCTCAAGTGAATTACTATTATTTTCCCAATATTTCCCCATGAACTAATGTGATAGAAAGTAAGTTAAGTAACAGGGTCATGTGCACTCTGGTGACAAAGGAACAAGAAACCAGAGAAACGTTTTTACAAGTACCTTGAGGAATTTCATGAATTGTTTCAACACCCTGCTGCCTGCTCTTTGTCCTCCTTGTCCAGTACATTTTCTGTACACATACCACAGTCATTTGCAAGTTTTCAAAAGGTACAGTATTTGTCACCCGCTTCTTAAGTGCCCAAAATAATGAGACTGGAGTCTCTGGAGTCAGACTCACTGCTTGTGTGACACTAACAAGTTTTATAAACTTTCTCCATGAGCTTCAGTTTGTTTGTTTTTTTAAAATTATTTTTAGGCCAGGCTCGGTGGCTCAGCCTGTAATCCCAGCGCTTTGGGAGACCGAGGTGAGTGGATTGCCTGAGCCCGTGGGTTCGAGACCTGCCTGGGCAACTTGGCAAGACCTCATCTCTACAATAAATTTAAAAATTAGCCAAGCGTGGTAGTGTGCGCCTGTAATTCTGGCTACTCAGAAGGCTGAGGCGGAAGGATCGCCGGAGCCCAGCGGGTCGAGGCTGTGGTGGCCGGGAGCGGCCACTGCACTCCAGTCTGGGCGACAGAGTGAGACTCCAACTCAAAAAAAAAAAATTATGTTTAAAGAGACAAGAGTCTTGCTATGCTGCTCAGGCTGCCCTCGAACTCTTGTGCTCAAGCAATCCTCCCACTTCAGCCTCCCAGTAACTGGGATTATAGGCACATAACACTGTGCCTGGCTTTTCTTCAGTTTCTTACCCATAGAGATAGTATCATCTACCCAAAAGCATTATAATAAGTAAACGGTATGTACAAAAGGGCTTAGAACAATGCCTGGCACCTTTATGTATGATATTTATTGGGATGTAGAAAGGAGGATACTAGGGCAACCGCTTCAGGTCCCCTACACTGTGAGAGCTTTTCTGTCCTCTCAATAAATCCTTCTTTTTAAAAAAAGAAAACAAGAAAAGAAGATATTTTCTATAAAATCTCTAGACTGAATATAAGCTCTAAGGATTGAAAATGCATAGGAGGGCACATGAAAATAATAAATGTCTTCATTCTCAAGAAAGTCAACCTGGCAGGAGAAAAAAAATGGATGCAAGATGGTAGAACATCCTATTTAAAAGCATGGTCCCGCCGGGTTCGGTGGCTCAGCCTGTAATCCCATGTCTTGGGAGGCTGAGGTGAGTGGATTGCCTGAGCCCGCGGGTTCGAGACCCGCTTGGGCAACTTGGTGAGACCTCATTTCTACAATAAATCAAAAAATTAGCCAGGTGTGGTAGCACGCGCCTGTAGTTCCAGTTACTTGGAAGGCTGAGGCGGAAGGATCACTGGAGCCCAGTAGGTCGAGGCTATGGTGGCCGGGAGCGGCCACTGCACTCCAGTCTGGGCGACTCCAACTCAAAAAAAAAAACAACCATGGTCTCTGGGATCAGGTAGACCTGTGCTCTATCCTATATCGGCTATTACCTTGAACAAGACATTGAACTTCTCTAAGCCTTTATTTAATCACTGGTAAAATGAGAAAAATACTGAATATAAGAAGGTTTGGTGAGGATTAAGAGAATATTTGCAAAGTACCTGGCACATAGTAACTATCTAATAACAAGAACTGATTTCATTAGCTGTTAAAACTTAGTTTTAGCCGGGCTCGGTGGCTCAGCCTGTAATCCCACGCCTTTGGGAGGCTGAGGTGAGTGGATTGCCTGAGCCCACGGATTCGAAACCCACCTGGGCAGCGAGACCTCATCTCTACAATAAATAAAAAAATCAGCCGGGCGTGGTAGCGCATGCCTGTAATTCCGGCTACGTGGAAGGCTGAGGCGGAAGGATCACCGGAGCCCAGCAGGTAGAGGCTGCGGTGGCCAGGAGCGGCCACTGCACTCCAGTCTGGGCGACAGAGTGAGACTCCAACTCAAAAAAAACAAAAACAAAACAAAACAAAAACAAAAAAAACTTAGTTTTATAAGAAAACAAGGACCTGATGTTAGTCCAGGGGTTCTCAGCCCTGGCTATACATATGAATCACCTGGAGAACTTTAAAAAAGCAAGCTTAGGCTGGGCACAGTGGCTTATTCTTATAATCTCAGAACTTCAAGAGGCCGAGTTGAGAGGACTGCCTGAGCCCAAGGGTTTAAGACAAGTCTGGGCAACTTCGTGAGATCTTGTCGCTATAATAAATCAAAAAATTAGCTGGGCATGGTGCTATGTGCCTGTAGTTCTGGTTACCTGGAAAGCTGAGGCAGAAGGATCACCTGAGCCCAGCAGATCGAGGCTGCAGTGGCTGTGATTGCACCACTGCACTCCATCCTAGGTGATACAGTGAAACTCCAACTTAAAAACAAAAACAAAAGTTGGGCACGGTGGCTCACGCCTGTAATTCCAATACTTTGGGAGGCCGAGGCAAGAAGATTGCCTGAGCCCAGAGATTCGAGACCAGCCTGAGTGACTTGGCAAGACCTCATCTCTACAACAAATAAAAAATTAGCCAGGCGTGGTGGTACACAACTGTAGTACCAGTTACTTGGAGGGCTGAGATGGAAGGATTGCCTGAGCCCAGCAGGTCAAGGCTGCAGTGGCCATGAGTGTACCACTGCACTCCAGCCTGGGCGACAGAGTGAGACTCTGACTCAAAAAGAAAAAGAAAAAAATAAAAAATAAGTGCTTTGACTGCACTTCAGACAAACTGAATCAGAATCTTAGGGGTTGAAGCCTAGACATCAATATTTTTCAGAGCTTTCCAGGTAATTGAAACAGCAGTTGAAGGTGAGAACCACAATAGCTAGCCAGAAAAGAAGTCCCAGTTCCTAGGCCAGGTGCAGTGGCTCACACCTGTAATCCCAGTTCCTAGGCCAGGTGCAGTGGCTCACACCTGTAATCCCAGCACTTTGGGAGGCTGAGACGGGAGAAGTGCTTGAGTCCAGGATTCAAGACCAGCTTGGGCAAACATAGTGAGACTCTGTCCCTACAAAAAAAAAAAAAAAGAAGGCCCGACTCTATCTGAGACCAGTTATTTTAATTAGCATTACTTTCCTTACAAAATAAATTAATCAGGCCAGGCACTATGGCTCATGCTTGTAATCACAGCACTATGGAGACTGAGGCAAGAGGATCGCTTGAGTCCAGCAGTTTCAGACCACCCTGGGCAACGAAACAAGACCTTGGCTCTAGAAAGTAATTTTAAAAATTAGCCAGCTGTGGTAGCATATGCCTGTATTCCCAGCTACTCAGGAGGCTGAGGCAGAAGCATTGTCTGAACCTAGGAGTTCGAGGTTGTGGTGAACCATGATTGTGCCACTGCACTCCAGCCTGGGTGACAGCGTGAGACTCTGACTCAATGAGTCCAGTCTGGGCAACACAGTGAGACCTCTTCTCTACAAAAAAAAAAAAATCAAAAAAATTAGCCAGGCATGGCAGCACTTGTTGGTAGTCCCAGATGCTTAGGAGGCTGAGGTGGAAGGATCAACTGAGCCCAGGAGGTTGAGGGTGCTGTCAGCCCTGATCATGCCACTAAACTGCAGCCTTGGTGACAGAGGGAGACCTCCGACTCAAAAAACATAAAATAAAATGAAATGAAATAAACCCATTAGTTCTACCCTTTCAAATCAGAATTACTACTATCTCATGGTGAAATGGAAGCTAAAAGAATCTGTACAATTTGCTTCTGGGAGAAACGAAGAAAACGGTTTAAAACTCCCATCAAGCCCTATAGCTGACATCTCCTTCAGATGCATTTCTACCTACTCCTATTTCCTCAGCCTGACTGCAAATCTAGTCATGACCCTCTCTCTGTCGCCCAGGCTGGAGTGCAATGGCACTCACAGCCACTGCGGCCTCAACTTGCTGGGCTCAGGCAATCCTTCTGCCTCAGCCTTCCAGTAGCGGGAACTACAGGCACGTGCCACAACACCTGGTTAATATTTTGATGTATTGTAGAGACGAGGTTTTGCCAAGTTTTCCAGGCTGGTCTCGAACCCCTGGGCTCAGGCAATCCTCTTGTCTCCACTTCCCAAAGTGCTAGGATTACAGGCATGAGCCACCGGGCCCGGCCCAAAGTTTCTTTTAAGTTTGAAGTTTTTCATAATAAGCCTTTGGGGAAAAAAATAATGTGACCTCTGTCTCCATTTCTAATCCTGTCTTCCTTGCAAAATATTACTTAGCTATAGGATGCCCAGCAACAACCTGTGATAATAATTTCCCCACCATCTGATTGCAATGCCATAGGACAGAAAATGTACAAATTTGCTGTCGATAGAAGAAAGTACTGAAGAACCCTCAGGGTCAACTAACAAAAAGCAAGAAGCTTTGCCAACAACCAGATACTAGGTTCCAACAAAATGCTGGTTTCACAAACTTTCTTCTAATTATAGTCTTTTCTACAGGCAAGGAGAACTGCTGTTCAGATCTGAGAACAGGTGGAAGAAAAAGATGCTGAAAAGGGTGAGCAAGTTGCAAAAGCGAGCACTGCAGTGATGGATTAAGTTGGGGAGCTGAGTTACATAAATTCAGTTTGCTCTGGTGCTATTCTTGCAGCCAAATCACCAACCAGCCAAGCATGCTCAATTTTACCTAATGTGCACAAGAGAACATTATTAACACTAAAGAAAAGGCCCCTGTTCAAGACAACTATTCCCAAAGGACTGTACAAGCATAAACAATTATCTCTCTAAAAAAATACTGACAAGAACATTAACTTTTGAAGTTCAACAGACCAAGAACTTCTCATGGTACCCTTTGTCCCCTCCTGCACAACATTCCTGAGAGGCAAAGAACTGTGATGTCAGTGCAGCTGACCTAAGCTCTGACACTTGCCATTACCTCTTGCTGCTTCTCCTCATTGGGGTAGGTGTCTATAAATACTCCCAGCCCCACAAATTTGTCCATGTTTCCAAATACAGGCCCTAGAGAGAGAGAACAGATGATGCACAATGAAATAAAGCCAAGAGTTGATAAAGGAAAAACATATCACTATGATGGAGGAAAAGGTGAAATTCAAATGACTCTCAGACCTCTCTTACGATGAGAAAATGCATGTAAAAGTACCCAACACAGTGCATGGCCTGTCCCAAGTGCCCAGTAAATATCTGCAGTTGTTTGTTGTTGAAGGCAGGGGAAAGAGAGAAGGCCACTGCAACCTCATTTACCATGATGGCAGTTCCCTGATCCAAACTGGTTGTTAAGGTGCCCCTACAGAATGCTGCTTCACAAGCACTTGGTGAAGAGTATGCCCCCAAGAGAGAACTGAATTCCCAAGTCATACTTCTTGTTGCAAAAGAGATAAGGTTAAATCAGGTTAAGCCTGCCATCTACTTGGAGCAATGGCTTCCACACAACAAGAAAAAATAGATAACTCTTCTCTTGATTCAACAGTGCTAAAATCGTTCATTGTACATGCCCAGAAGAAATCATTTCACCCAATCATCAATGTTTGGGAGAGCCAGTGCTTTCATCCAGCCAACAGGCCAGGTGGTTTCACAGGGAATCTCAGAAGGAACTAACAAGCAGCAAGTGCCCCAGGATGAGTTGAGTTCAGCAGCTCATTAGGACTCAGACCCCATTCTAGAGCCTAGCCAGGCCAGTGTTCATCCACAGACATCAAGGGAGAGGGAAAACTGCTGACACTGTGAGGAAGGAACTTTTTCAAAAAGAGGGCACATGAGAAAGCAGCCTCTCACACCCACACAAGAGCAACCCAGGGTCCCAATACCTGGCTGCATCCGATCCTTTGTGTACCAGATTGCCAAGCCATCCCCATGCAGATTCTTCTTCCCTTGTCCATGGATTTTGAAGTGCACCTGCAACTCCCAGTCTCTCAGGAAACATGGCTAAAGTGAGAAAGACATTGGAATCAATGAGGAGTGTGAAATGCAAAGCTCTCAAGCCATCGTCAGCAGGCTATAGACTTGGAAAACATAAATGCAGGTAACACTAGGCTACAGGTTAAAACCAAAATCTAAGACTTGCTGTGTGTTTACATCATACAATTAAATGGACTAAGTCATTCAACTGTTTAAGAGATTTAATATAAAAAAATGAAAAAAACTTCTCAATTATCTTCAACATCTCCCAAGAGAAACAGAACAGTACTGCAAAGTTAGAAAAGATAAGACTATGCCAACCTAGACTCCCGTGAGCCTACATCCACCCAGCAGAGTATCTTAGCCTACAGAGTATAGATAAGTGAATTAATATTCATTTGCAACATAAGATCACCTTTCAGATAGAAAGACTAAAAAACTTGGACTTAAAGAAAGGTCAAAGCCTCATTCATTATAATAGAAGAGCTAAGTAATTAAGCAAAGGTTTCCAGGAATAATTAGCAGATACAATAAACAACTCTAATTAGATAGACTTGGCCCTCTGTCAAGCTGAGGGGCAAGCTAGAATTCCCGCGGGAAGGGTAAGTTACATTCCCCCAAATCCCCATGCCCATGGCTAAGAAGAACAAATGTACCAAAGAATACCATACCCACCACAGGGATAGTCTCTGTTGGGAAAACATGAAGAAGGTGAGTTTTTTTTTTTTTAAGTTGCAAAACAAAGTTTATTAAAGAAAGAAGAAAGAATGGGAGACATGCCAGAGCTGGCATGGGCGAGAGAAACTGCCAGAAGATAATAATGAGACCCTTGTTTTTCTTTTTTGAATTTTTATCAAAATCTGGTAAAAATGGAGATGGAGGCAAGTAGATGTTTAAGTACTTCAAACAGTTGAACAGTTTCAAGGGGAAACCAGACTAGTTATTTGGTTTAGCGAGGCTTCTGGTTAAAGGCCCACAGTGAAGAAACAAGGGAAGAAGGAGCAGATAAACTGGCAGGGTTCAGTCAGAGGCTTTCCAAATAAACTGTTCTGGCTCTTGAGCAACATATTGCTAGATCACTTTCAGTTTTCGTTTCTATTTTCTGGGATATTTTCTAAAAGTGTTAGTATTAGGAGTACATAGTCAAAATGAAAGAGAGCTGAGTACTTCTGCATTCAGCAAGGAACCCTGAAATCTCCAACAGCTTACTCTGCCCTGATGACCTCAGTCCCTGTCTTGTCATTTCAGGTTCTTATCTCTCTGCTACTTCATTTCTATTACAGAGAAAGACTGAAATTCAGTGGCAGGAAGCTGCCCTACAGCCAGTAAGTAGGCATTATGCCCCTGGGAAGACGGCAGGGCCAGAGAAGTTTACACTGAGCCAACAACAGGTGTCTGCCACTGACTTTTGACCTCCTTACACAAAATGACATACAGTTTTGCTTGGGGCTATGTCTAACAGTGGACCTGAAATTTTTCTGCACGTTGGACTCACCCAGGGAGCTTTTTAAAATCCCAATGGTCAAGCTGCACTCTATTCCAATTAAATCAGAATCTCTGGGGGTGGGACCCAGGCATCAACTCTAATGGATAACCAAATTTGAGAACCACTGCTCGAACAAATGCATCCTATTCAAATAACTCAGAAACAAGTTCACAGCTCATTGTGATAGCTAGAAAACAGAGAATATAGGGATCAAAGAATCTGGAAAAGGGAAAGAGAACTAGATGGTAGACTAGAATAGTTGTTAAAGAGTTGTATGGAGACCTAGCAAGACAGCAGCAAAGTACTAAGCCTTGAACATATCGTTTAGTAATCCTCAAGAGCCCCCATCAAGGAAACTTGTAACAGTGTAAGATATGACAATATATACGTCTGTAACCATCTTAAATCTCCACAGTCTTCTTATGCCTATTGTCTTATTTTACTCTCACAACAACCTTGGTATGCAAGTAAAACAGACATTATGAAGCTCATCTGACAGATGGAGAACTGGAAACGAAGAGGTTAAATAACCTGCCTAGAGCTCACAGTCCAGGACAGAGCACGATCTAGAACCCAAGTCTTTGAACTGCCCTTTACCTCTTCTACCAGAACACAATGCTCTGCACCGTGTCCAAAAATGAGCTTAGTACTACAATCTGGGTTAAGGGGCCAGTTTCTGCAGACAGCTCATGAAGAAATTTCTTTTACCCATCTGCTCCTTTAGAATTCTATGCCACAGAAAATGAAGAGACAAAATAAATAGTTCTCTTTCCTGAGGTTCCCTAGAAAAATCATGTAAAAGCAAGTTCTTAGCTTACAAGAGCTCAAGAAAAAAAAGTATCAAATGATGCCAAGGTCATCCCCAAAAGTAAAGTGATCATAAAAGATTAGAAAGAGCCGGGCTCAGTGGCTCAGCCTGTAATCCCGCGCCTTTGGGAGGCTGAGGTGAGTGGATTGCCTGAGCCCGCGGGTTCGTGACCTGCCTGGGGAATTTGGCAAGACCTCATCTCTACAATAAATCAAAAATTAGCCACGCGTGGTAGCACGCGCCTGTAGTTCCAGCTACTTGGAAGGCTGAGGCGGAAAGATCACCGGAGCCCAGCAGGTCGAGGCTGTGGTGGCCGGGAGCGGCCACTGCACTCAAGTCTGGGTGACAGAGTGGGACTCCAACTCAAAAAAAAAAAAAGATTGGAAAGAGCCCTGGAAGCTAAGAAGAAAGCATCATCTTACACTTGTACAAAATCACAGTGCAGCCACACCAGGAATACTGCATTCACTTCTTGCCACATCTCAAGGAATACAATGTAGCTAGAAAAGGTCCAGAGAAGGACAAATAAAATGACCAGTGGCTCAGAGGGCTTTCATGTGAAAAATAACATAACAAGGTGGGAGGGATATTGGGATGAAGTCTGGGATCAGAGTAGCTCTTCTACTTTGCAAAGCAAAGTAGTTAAATAGGAGTTATGTTATTAAGTACTATCAGGGCAATCAGGAGTTAAAGGCATTTCAGAAGACACACTCAAAATGAATTATTTGCTGTAATTAGGGCAACAGAGAACATTTCCCTAAATATCTGATTTATTATGAAGGTCACGATAATCTCAGAAATAAAGATCCTTGATATCTACAAAAGACAGAATGCTGAGGATAGACAGTAAAATTAAGTCAATATTGCCACTGCTGAACTTTTCAAGACTTTCTGGGTCATCAACACAGGAGGGAGAGAGATTCTTACCACCCGGTTCCACAAGGCACCCTGTTTACTTTGCATATCTGGGGTAAGGCGAATATATTGGGTCATCACCATAGCATTGCCCATCAGATTCCACAGTGAGGAACTGCCTGTGCCCACACCTACAGGGAGGAAGGAGATCAGTTCATACTCTTCAACACCAATGTTCAGAAAGCCACCACAGAGACTCTGATAGCTGAAGTCATCATTTTTTTTCCCTCTCATGTCATTCAACTCTCACCTTATGTTACTCAAATCTTAAATCCTTACCATCTTTCTAGCTGCCCTTGTCAGGTGAAGACCCTAAAGCTCATCAGAACTATTCCTTTATGCATGCCACAGTAACCATAGCTCAGATCCATTCTTCCCATTTTATATGTGAGGAAACTTTAGCATCATGAAAGGAAAAAAAAAATGTCCCCAGTTATACCAAAAAGAGTTTGACCCTCAGGCCTCTTGGGCTTAATCACACCTTTTCTTTAAACAATCCTTCAGTCTGGCACGGTGGCTCATGCCTGTAATCCTAGCACTTTGGGAGGCCAAGAAAAGAGGATTCCTTGAGGCCAGGAGTGGGAGACCAGCCTAGGCAACATAGCGAGACGTTATCTCTATTTAAAAAAAAAATGAGTTGTATTGATGCGTGCCTGTAGTCCCAGCTACTCAGGAGGCTGAGGCAGAAGAGAAGGATCACCTGAGCCCCGGAGGTCGAGGCTGCAGTGAACTGTGCTCGTGTCACTAAACTCCAGCCTGGGCCACAGAGTGAGAATCCAACTCAAAATAAATAAATAATCCTTCGAATGCGAAGCTACCTCTCCCTGTCCCCTCAGACTAAACTCCTTGAAGACTGAAAATGTTGTGTCTGTATAACCCATAATATTAGCAAAGATACCAGCACAGAGGCGGCACTTTATGCATCTGACTACCCTCAGTAGGAGCGTATACTCTCTTGCACTTGGAGTTGTTTGCTGTCTCAGCGGGGAAACAGACTTGTTAGTTAAACCACTGTATCAATTTTCTGGTGGATAAGCTGTGCTTAGGGTCTGTGAACCTTTAGCAGAGCTAACCAGTCGCTTTCACCAAGAAGGCCCCAAGACTGGACAAGAGCAACTGTTCTACCCGGCAACAGAATTTTCTCTCTCTCACTCTGGCCAAGTTCTACCCCAGTTCCTCCTCCTGCATTTTTAGCACATCCACAGGTTCATCCCGAGTCCGGCTGATTGCTAGTGGCCCTCAATCACTCCTCCCCAGTCTCAGGTCTCTCCTTTTCCAACACTCCTCCTGTCCAAGTCCGAGCTCCCCTTCGTCTGAGCCTAGCACCAGCGGCACCCGTGAGCCCTGGCTCTACATGCTGGAAACTTCCAGAGGTTGGGGGAGGGGGCGACGGAGAGCTGACCACTGCCCTTTGGACCTGTGGCTCTCAAACGCAGACGGAGTCCCCGTGGGCCCCCGTCCACCGCCCGCAGTTTCCTCAGGGCCAAGAAGCCCTCCGCCGCCCCCGCCTCTACCGATAAGCTCAGATCGCGGAGCCCTCCCACTGCACGACCACCTCGCCCCGGGCGCCTCACCCTGGTAAGGCTTCGACAGCGAGTGCTCCCGTTTCAAGTACTCGAACGTTTGACCCGCCCCGACTCGCCGAGGCCCCTGCCCAGACCCCAACAAGAGGAGAAGGAACAACATGCTGGACCCTTCCCGTGCCGGCAAATGCCGCCGCCACCGCTGCCACCACCCAGAGGGTCCCAGAACCGCCGCCATCTTTCCCACCGCCGTCCCTTCACCAAAGGCCCGCCCCGTCGCCCATCCCATTGGCCCGTAGAACCACTACCCCAGGTGTCATTGGCTCTCGTTGAGTCTCTGCCCCCCCACAGGTAAGCATGTCACCGATTGGCTGGCTTGGGCATCAGTTGCCTTGCCAACCCAGAAAGGGGGCGTGGCTGAATGCCCAGCCTCCCTTGTTTGTATTCGTCTCTGTGCCTGCTGGGATACAAAGTTATTTACAGTTTGTTTCTGCGTTCAACGTTCCTTCCGCTCCCAAGCAAACGTTCTATCCTCTCTGCCACCGTACCCTCCTGACCGCGTAACTCTCAGCCAGGAGCATACATCACTGACAGGCGGCCGAGCGCGGTGGCTCCCACCTTGTAATCTCAGCACTTCCGGAGGCCGAAGGGAGAAGATTGCTTGAGCCTGGTAGTTCGAGACCATCCTGGGTAACATAGTGTAGATCTCATCTCTACAAAGAAATTGAAGTTAGCCGGACGTAGTGGCGCATATCTATGGTCTCAGCTAGTCAGGAGGCTGAGGTGGAAGGATCACCTGAGCCCAGGAGGTCGAAGCTGCGGTGAGTCGTGATCGTGCCACTGCATTCCGGCCTGGGCGACTGAGTGGGTGAGACCTCCCTCCCATTGGGGGGGAAAAAAACAAAAACAAAAACCTGGGCGACCGAGTGGGTGAGACCTCCCATGGAGGGGGGGACCTGAAAGGAGATATGGACAAATCTACAGTTAAAATAGATGGCGGGGCGCGGTGGCTCACGCCTATAATCGCAGCACGTTGGGAGGCCGAAGTGAGGGGATTGCCAGAGCACATGGGTTCGAGACCAGCCTGGGCAACTTGGTGAGATCTCATCTCTACAATAAATCCAAAAATTAGCCGGGTGTGGTAGCGCGCGCCTATAGTTCCAGCTACTTGGAAGGCTGAGGCGGAAGGATCGCCTGAGCCCAGCAGGTCGAGGTTGCCGTGGCCGTGAGCGTGGCACTGCACTCCACCCTGGGGTACAGAATGAGACTCCCACAAAAAAAAAAAAAAAAAAAGGCGGGCTCTGTGGCACTGTTATCCCAGCACTTTGGGATGCCGTGACGAGTGGATTGCCGGAGCCTGCGGGTTCAAGACCAGCCCGGGCAATTTGGCGAGACCTTGTCTCCACAATTAAAAAAAAAAAAAAAATAGCCGGGTGTGGTAGTGTGCGTCTGTAGTTCTGGCTACTCGGAAGGCTGAGGCAGAAGGATCACTGGAGCCCAGAAGGTCGACGCTGGGGTGGCCGTGAGCGTGCGTGCCATTGCATTCCAACCCGGGCGCACAAGTGAGACTCCAACTCAAAAAACAAAAAAAGATGGGAAATTACCGTTTATAAAAAACTTGAACAGAGCAATCAACTAACTTGATTTGATGACATGTATAGAAACTCGACCCGGCCAGGCTCGGTGGCTCAGCCTGTAATCCCAGCGCTTTGGGAGGCCGAGGTGAGTGGATTGCCTGAGCCCCCGGGTTCGAGACCCGCCTGGGCAGGCGAGACCTTATCTCTGCAATAAATTAAAAAATCAGCCGGGCGTGCTAGAGCACGCCTGTGATTCCAGCTACTTGGCAGGCTGAGGCTGAAGGATCGCCGGAGCCCAGCAGGTCGAGGCTGCCCAGCAGGTCGAGGCTGCAGTGGCCGGGAGTGGCCACTGCACTCCAGTCTGGGTGACAGAGTGAGACTCCAACTCAAAAAAAAAAGAAAAAAAAGAAACTCGACCCAACAACAGCAGAAGACACATTCTCTTCAAATGCAAATGACACGTCTCTTGATAAAGATATTCTGGGTCATGAAACAAACCACAAATGTAAAAGAATCTAAAGCATACAAGTTAATTTATTTAAATTTTATTTTAAAGTTGGGTAAAGGTGAGGATTTAATACATGATTATATTGCCTGCAAGTGAGGTGTGGGCTTCTAGCAAGCCCTCTCCCCCTGATAGTGGACCCGGTACCTAGTGTGTTACTGTGTACCCCTTATCCCTCCTCCCTTCCTTTTTTAGTGTCTGTTGTTCCCACTTTTGTGCTCAGTGACCCTGTCCTGACCCTATCCAGTGATCAGGGTCCTCTTATGAATGAGAACACGCCGTATTCAGTTTTATGTGTCTGTGATAGTTCACTTAGAATGAATGGTCTCTAGCTGCATCCATGTTGCTGCAAAGGACATGATTTTGTTCTTCTTTATGGCTGCATAGTATTCCATCTTGTATATGTACCACATTTTCTTTATCCAGTTCACTTTCAGTGGGCACTTGGGTTGGTTCCATGTTTTTGGTATTGTGAATAGTGCTGCAATAAACTTGTGGGTGCAGGTATCTTTTTGGTGGAGCAATTTATGTTCCTTTGGGTATATTCTCAGAAGTGGGATTCCTGTATCGTATGGAAGTTCAATTTTTAGTTCTTTTTTCTTTTTTCTTTTTTTTTGAGTTGGAGTCTCACTCTATCGCCCAGACTGGAGTGATGTGGCCGCTCCTGGCCACCGCAGCCTCGACCTGCTGGGCTCCAGCGATCCTTCCGCCTCAGCCTTCCGAGTAGCTGGAATTACAGGCATGCGCTACCACACCCAGCTGATTTTTTTGATTTATTGTAGAAATTAGGTCTTGTTGCCCAGGCGGGTCTCGAACCCGTGGGCTCAGGCAATTCACTCACCTTCAGCCTCCCAAAGGCGTGGGATTACAGGCTGAGCCACTGAGCCCAGCTCAATTTTTAGTTCTTTGAGAAAATGCCACAATGTTTTCCACAAAGGTTAAACTAGCTTACATTCTCACCAACAGTGTAGAAGCATTCACTTTTCTCTGCAGCCTCGCCAACACCTGTTGGGTTTTTTTGACCTTTTAATTATTGCCATTCTGCCTGGCATGTGGCTCACACCTGTAATCCCAGTACTTTGGGAGGCCGAGGTGAGAGGATTGCCTGAGTCCAGGGGTTTGAGACCAGCATGGGCAACTTGGCAAGAGCATATCTCTACAGTAAATCAAAAAATTAGCTGGGTGTGGTGGCACATGCCTGTGGTTCCAGCTACTTGGGAGGCTGAGGTGGAAGGATCATCTCAGCCCAGCAGGTCGAGGCTGTGGTGGCCGTGAGTGTGCCACTGCACTCCAGGGCTGGGCAACAGAGTGAGACTCCAACTCAAAAAAAAAAAAAAATGATAGCCATCCTGACTGTTGTGATGTGGTAGTTAATTGTAGTTTTGATTTGCATTTCTCTGATGATTAGTGAGGTTGAGCGTTTTTTCATGTGCTTGTTGGCTACTTGAATGTCTTCCTCTGAGAAGTGACTGTTCATGTCCTTTGCCCACTTTTTAATGGGGTTGTCTGATTTTTTTTTCCCCCTTTCAAATAGTTTGAGGTCCTTGTAGATCTTGGATGTTAGGTCTATGTCAGATGCATAGCTTGCAAATATTTTTTCCCATTCTGTGGGTCATCTCTTTACTCTTGATTTTTTCTTTTGCTATGCAAAAACTTTTTAGTTTGATAAGGTTAATCTTGGCTTTTGCTGCATTTCCTTTTGAGGAACTGGTCATGAATTCCTTGCCTACTCTGATGTCCAGGAGGATGTTCTCTAAGTTTTCTTCTAACATTCTTGTAGTTTGAGATTTCACATTGAAGTCCCTGGTCCATTTTGAGTTCATTTTTGCATATGATGATAGGTAGGGGTCCAGTTTCATTCTTCTGCATGTGGTTAACCAGGTTTCTCAACACTGTTTGCTAAATATGGTTTCCTTTCCTCAGTGTTTGTTTTTGTCAGCATTGTCAAAGATGAGTTAGTTGAAAGTCCATGGTTTTATTTCTGGATTCTTTGTCCTGTTCCATTGGTCTATGTGTTTATTCCTGTACCAGTGCCATTCTGTCTTGGTTACCATAATCTCATAGTAAAGTTTGAAGTCTGGAAGTGTGATGCCTCCAGCTTTGTTCCTTTTGCTGAGGATTGCTTTCAGGCTCTTTTTTTTTTTTTTGCTTTCATAGAATTTCTTGTCTAGGTCTGTAAAAAATGATGGTGGCAATTTGAAATTGCCTTTGGTAGAAGGGACATCTTGATGATATTGATTCTTCTAATCCATGAGCATGGGATGTTTTTCCATTTGTTTCACACAACTTAATTCTCAAAGCTATCACTTCATTTCTATCCCTCCCTTTATCTTTCTCCTGCACCCCAACAATATGTGTCCAAACTTGTCTTCTGACCACCCTCCTCCAAATGGCCACCAGAGTGATCAAAACCATCTAACCATGGATAGTGTCAGGGTTAAATGAGTCAATATTGATAAAACAGAATAGTGCCTGGCATGTAGTAAGCACTGTTTCATCATCATTATCGTTCTTACTAATGGGGTCTTTGATGTCTTGCCATCACTTCTGAAAAGGAGATTCAAGTGCTTCAATTTGGCACACAAAGCTATCTACCACACGGCCTTGGCCTTGTTGCCCACAGCTCCCTTCTTCCATTTTTATGTTCCAGCCTCCTCTCTTCCCCCTTCTTTTCTACAGGGCACTTCCTTCTGGAGGCCTTCCTCAACTTCCTCAGGCCAAGGTAGATGCCCCTCTCTGAGCTCTCAAAGTGCTTCATGCACATCTCTTACAGAGCACTTGCCAGATCTGTGTTTATGTCTTCCCCAAAGACAACCAAAGTTAACTGTCTCTTTCTTTCCTGAGCATATATTTAATATGAGAAACATGAACATGAGCCTGCTTTATAGATCAACTTTTCTTTTCTTTCTTTCCTTTTTTTTTTAGAGATAGGATCTAACCCTGTCACCCAGGCTGGAGCGTAATGGTGTGATCCTAGCTCACTGCAGCTTCAAACTCCTGGCCTCAAGTGATCCTCCTGCCTCAGCCCCCCAAGTAGCTGGGACTACAGGCGAGCACCACTATGCCTGGCTAAAACAAAATTTTTTTTTTTTGTAGAGATGGGTTCTCCCTATGTTGCCTAGGCTGGTCTTAAACTCCTGACCTCAAACAATCCTACCGTCTTGGCTTCCAACTTTTATAAAATCAGGGCTTTCACAGCCATTGATCT